ATTCGAGGCTCTCTACAAGAGTGCACGCAGTCCTGTCGAAGCTCCGAGACATCCCTTTCTGTGCTCCCTTCTTTTGTCGCCTGCGCCCTCACCTCCTGGGCCGGCAGAGCGGAAGGCGAGGAGTCCAGGGTCGGGCGCGGGGACGGACACCTCCCACCCGACGCAGCCCCAACTCCCCGACCCCAGCTCCGCACAGAGCCGGAGTCTCGGCGCCGCCCTGCTTTGAGTTAGGCCCCAGAGCCCGATTGAGTGTGGGGCCAGTTCCCACCGCGTGGGGCGCTGACCCCGGCTGGCTCCCCGCTCCTTTCGCTAGGAGCAGGAGGACGGAGGGAGGCCACTCATCCAGTGAAATCAGCGGCTAGGGAAGGATCCGGTCCGAAGGCTCTGGGGGCCGCGACCAGCACTGATTCCGGCGGGTCTTGAGCTCTCCGCCTCGCTGGATCCTCGCACCCCACTCTCTCTGGCCCCTCGCCGCCCCGAGACCGCAGTGTCCCAAGGAGGGTGTCACTGAAAACGAACAAAAAGCGAGACTCTGCAGACCCGAGCCTTAGGGGTTTGCCTCCTCCCCACTACCCATAAGGGAAATAAGTACTAGAGAGGCTCGGAGACTTGGCGGGGGTAGGGAAGGGGGGCACTCATTCTCCGGCAAGTTTGAGGAGAGGCAGGGAAGATGCAGGTGCGCCCAAGCCAGCGAGGCCCCTCCGTTGGCCCATTTCTTTCCGAAGCCACTGCCAGAGCCCTTAGGCTGGGCTCCTCCTCGGGCTGCGCTTCCTGCACCTGCGGAGCCGGGGCCCGCGGGGCGCGCTAACAGAAGAGTCCAAATCCCCAGTGGCGAGGTTGGCCCGAAGTCCCCTCGGCACAGTTCCTCTGCCCCGGCTCGGGCCGGGAGCGGCGGCCGTGAGGAGGTGCGGGGAGGAGTGCCCTGCGAGCCAGGGACTGACCTCTCTAGTCCGGTCCGTTCCGGAAGAGCCTCCGAGGGTTGAAGCCGAACTCCTGCGAGGCGCCTTCAATCTCTCAGGGGCAGAGCCTCGCCCAGCCCCGAGGCCTGTCTCAGGCCCCGGGGCCTGTCCAGGGACCCCAAAGGGTGGCAGAGCGGCGGCGGGACAGCTAGGAACGCACCCTTCAGTCGGACGGTGGGAGGGGAGAGGGGCCTGAGGTCTCCAGAAGGGACCTAGAAAGCGCAGGTGAATCTCACAAGCTGAGAAAGGTGGTCAGAGAACCAACCTCCCTTCCTAAGGGAAGAGGGGCTTTTGCAATTTCTGCCAAGTGTGTTAGTGGAGGCCACAAAACCTTGCTCCATCCGGCAGCTTGAAAACAAAGTTTGAGAACTCAAGACCTTGGGCTTCGTGGGCTGCTCAGACCAACCTTTTTCGGGGTATAGACCCAAAGCCCCAGAACCCCCGAGAGGAGGAGAGGGTGGCTAGAGACCAAGGCCTAGTGGTCTGCTTTCCCTCTCAAAATGTGACTGTCTCCCTTCTTCTTGAAGTTCGGTCACGGGCTTAAACCACAAGGAGGTTTGAATGCAGGCTTCTCAACATATTTCTGCCCACGAGGCTTTCGCTGTCCTTTTAATGATAAAGCAACTTCCATTTTGGAATAAAAGGATCGTTGTCGTGTTTCTAGATGGAATTAAAAACTGCTTTAAACTTCAGAACTTTGGATAAGGTGGCAAATTCACATGAAAAAAGAATACCAAACGCCTAAATATCCTCACTTTCCTGGCCACGTAACTTTGTTTCTGGAATCAGTCATTTGAGAATTTAATGGGAAATGCAAGGAAGAGTCACTTGCAAAGTCACATTCCCAGTTCACCAGCTCGCACCAAGGCAAGGCCCTTCCCGGGAGGCCAGGGGTGACTGGTCCTACCCAATAAATCAAGAAACTCCGGGAGGCCTGGCTTCCAAATCGCCTTCCTTCTTGAGTTCTTGCCCTGTTCTACTCCTTTCTCCCAGTTTGTAAGGTGGGGGCTGGGGAGGGGGGAATTTTGTGACCCAGAAAAGAGCTCAGCCCCTTTAGAAGAACTCCTCAACGTTGGAAGCAGGGCCTGTTTACCCGCTTTCGGACAGCCTGGGGTAGAGTCCTCTGCGATTCAGGTTCTTTCTAGCACAGTGACCCGCGGGCAGTAGGACTCGGCTCTTTACATTGACCGCTGGAGAAAAAACTACAAGGATTCTTGTCCCAGCAGCAGGACTTCAAAAGCCAGCGTTGCCCTGGTAAAGGGGTGTGGCCTTACTCCCTACTGCATCCACATTAAACTCCAGCTCTAGAAATCGGTTCAAGCCCTCTGCTAAACCAGCGGTCAGGCCTCTCCAGCGTTTTCCCAAGACCAGGCCTTTGGAAACAGGACTCAAAGAAGCAACTGGCTTAGGGGAAAGACGTTTTCCTGATTGATGAAACTTCTCTGTTCCCTGCCCTTTCTAAATAATAAACTCACAGGGAAAGGCTGGAAGGCTGCCTTGTGTTGGTTTCAAATAAATCCTCAACAGCTCTTTGCTTACCCAGAGAAATGAATCACCCTTGGGAAACAAACGATTATTCCCCCATTTGTCTGCCCAAAACCAGAGGAAATAAGCACCTTCCACTGTAGACTCTCACTCTGGTCTTTCTCCCTGGCAGTGGGGGAGGTGGGGAGGGCAGGGGGTAGAAAGATATGGAGGAGAATGATTTCAATAGAACCAGGACCCACAGAGATGCACTCCTCCCCCAAGGAGGGGCAGCACCAGGCAGGCCGTGGGAGACCCAGGAAGGAAGAGACAGGTGCTTCTCGATGTCTGTCCATGCTGGGTGCTGGAGAGAGACAGTTCTTGCCCCGGGGCAAATGCCTTGGGCCTCTCCCTCTTGAGGAAGAGGTTAGGAATCAGGCACGTTACATCTAATCCAGGGGCAAATTTGGGGTGGCACATCTCAACCAGGCTTTATTTTCCTTAATAGGAAATAAAGGCATGTGCTGTTGGGGTTATCATCGCTTGAACTTGATTTCTTGTCCTTTATAAACAAACACAATCTTCTTGCTGGATCACTTTCGCTTACATACACTATTCGGAACTGTGACGGGACGAAGGGATGGAAAGTAAAGCAATCAATTTGAATGACCCCGGTTTCAGCCATCATCAGTGTAGATTTTTCTCTTTATTCCCCAGTCCTCCCCCCATAGTACTTGCAAACAGTTTGTGTTCCACTGAAGACCTGCCATCTTCTAAGGGAGGAAAGAAGGGAGAATTGCCCCTATAAATCTGCGAGATGCTGAGACTTGGGCGGTCCTTGGCTTCCCCCTGCTCACTTTACAAAGCAGAGCGGCCTTCCCTTTCTCCGTGGGGCTGCAGCCCAGGGAGCAGGCAGGGGGCCGGGTATTTGGTTATTCTCTAGGACCATTCTTTGTTGACTTTTAAAACATATACTGCATCTTAGCCTGTTTTTTTAAAGGCCACATGGTCAATTTAAAGTGAAAAGAAGTTAATTTACTGCTTCATTCTTATCTGTTGCCAACACAGCCACTGCAGTCACTACTCTGCCTCTCATTTCCTGTCATTTGGGGTTTCCAGATGACTTTTTAAAAGAAATCTCAATTGAGGAGTTTATGAGGGTCTGATTACTGCAGAGAAACAAGGAGCTCACATATCACAAGATGACCAACGTGCACAGCGCTCTCATTCAAAGGACATTTAGTTGTAATAATTAACACCAATTTATCTGACCTCTTTACCTGTGAGTGACCAGCAAAAACTCGTCACATCTGCAGCCCACCCCAATTTCTCACCCAGGCCCAGACACACCTCACTGAGTCCACGAGTTCCCTGCCCATTACCCCACCTTCACAGATTTTAGGCAAAGGCAAAGCTAGGATTTAAAGGTTCTTTTTTATTTGAAATCTCATCCAGAAACACTGGTCATTAATAAATATATCATAGTTATCAAGAATATATAAAAAATAAAGACAGGTATTGTCTTTGAAGCCCTAACAAAATATTTCAAGCAAATGTCCAGGAAAATAAAAACGGTACCCCTCCCCATACCACGATAAGTTTTCAAAGCTGATGATAGAGAGAGCCGACCCTGCATGCAGAATAACTGAGCAAGGGGGAGTGGAGCAAGCTAGTGGAAGGAGCCCAGGCTCTGGCAGCCGCCGGCCCATAGAACAGCCGAACAGCCAAGAAGGTTGGGAATGGAGTTGAAGGGGCTGGGGGTGGGAGAAGAATCGCATGTGCGTGAATGTGGGCCTTTGCACTCTGCCCCCATTTTCATGTCATACAAACACAGACAGATGTACGGAGTACTTGGGAGAATTCACTAATAAATCCTTGTTACAAGGAAAATGGCATCACGGCCTGCACAACATGTTTAGACAAGATTCATTTAGAAGCCCGCATGCATTCTTTTGACCTACACTGCATCTTAAGAAAAACCCACATAACAGATGTCATGCCCTGGACCAGAGGCAAGATTCAAAACTTGGGTCTTTATTCTCTCTCTCTCTCTCTTTCTCTCTCTCCGTTATCTCGAAAAAAGAAAACAACTGTGGAGAGGTTAATGACAGTCAGAATTGCAACCATCTCAAGAAAATATTTACATTTGTTTTGCACGGAAGGGATGGTTGTCTTTCCCAAGGTGAGAACGCAGAGCCAGAGAAAGCCAACTCTGAAGTCCCTTCCCAAGTTTGTAGCTATACTGATCCCCTCTTTTTACAACAGATGCAGTTTTGATAAGAGCGTATGACTGTGAGAAAGACAGGCGCGGCATGGGGAAAAGAAGCATGCATGCAAAACACACGACGTCTGGTTCGAGTCCCCCTTCGCTACCACTTAGAAATTGCAGTTTGGTTTTGGTCCTTTCCCTCTGGGGTCAAGTGGGGTCCGAGATCTCTTAGCCCATGTGGGGGGCCGCAGGACCCCGCACCACCCTCCCGCCGGCGGAGTGCCCAGCCTTTCCCCTCCCTCTCTGCCCCGCACCTCGACCCCTTCCGTCACTCTCCCTCATCCTCCGCAGCCGGGCCCGTCCGCTGCTCACTTGAGCAAGTCCTTGGACTCAGCGGACAGCCGGGCCATGTTGGCTGTAGAGAGAGCGGACAGGTGCGGTGGAGGCGGCATCTGGCAGATGGTGCAGGGGCAGGGCAGCCCGGCCCAGTGCTGGAAGCTGCTGCCCAGCTGTAGCGCGGGCGGCGTAGAGGGCGCTTTGAGCAGAGAGTGGGGAGGCCGAATGGTGCCGATGGCGGGCAGCGAGGCTGCGGACAGCGGTGATGAGGCATTGCCGGACGACAACGCGCCACCCAGGATGGGGTGCACTGGGTGCACAGCGTTGGCGGCGTGAGCTGGGTGGCCGGCCGAATGGCTCACGGTCCCGCAGTGGAAGGCCGAGTGGTGGCCTCCGTAGATCTCTCCAACCAACCTCTTCATCTCCTCTAGAGAGCTGGTGAGCATGAGGATGTAGTTTCTGGCCAGCAGGAGAGTGGCGATCTTGGAGAGCTTTCGCACCGAAGGCCCGTGCGCATAGGGCATGACCTCGCGCAGCCCGTCCATGGCGAGGTTCAGGTCGTGCATCCTCTTGCGTTCGCGTCCGTTGATCTTCAGCCGCAGCTGCTGTAGGTCCTGCTCCGACAGCTGCTTCTTGATTTTGTACTTGCTGCTCTCACCCGCAGCCTTGGCGCCGGCCCGCGAGAGGCTTTCTCCGGGCATCTTCTGCACCAAGTCGCCCTGCGTGGAGGAGACCGAGTTGAGACGGCTCTCCTGGTGGTGGTGGTGGCGGTGGTGGTGGTCCCTCAGATACATCTCATCCATGTCCGGAGACGAAGCTCTGCTGGAGACAGAGCTCGAATCAGAATTCATTTTATTACAGAGGATGCGTCCCGATCGTGGGGAAGCTTTACGCGGAAAATTAAAGAAAATCTTGAATTAAAAAAAAAAAGTCTGCACAGCCCAAGAACCCACTTCTCTGAGACAAGACGCGAGAAGAAGAGCTGAGGCACTGCCTTTCCCCGCCTTCCTCCCTCCCCACTCCCCTCTCTCCGGTTAGACTGTTTCCTGGACAGCTAGTTGGTGTGTGCTTGAACTAACCTCACGCTGAAAAAGAGGGGCTTTTATAGAGCTGCGGCGGAGAAAAGAGACAAAAGAAACCCTCCTATCTATCCTGGGCTGGTTAGGATGACGTGCCATCATTCAGGGCGGTGCGCTTTGCTGTCCCATTTAGCAAGGATTCCTATTCATATTCATTGTGGGGCCGCCCTGGGACACCTCTGCTCCAGACCGCTAGGAGCCCCCAGGCACCAAACCCTCTGATTGACACACTCACCGCTGCGGCTCACGCCTTCCTGATTTTTTAAAAAACTTGCCTCCACCCCCAGCCCTCTTCTCAATTTCCCTAGCCGAATCACACCTAAGGAAACCAAGGAAGGGAAGGAAAGAGGCTAGGAAGGTCGGCGAAGATTCCTCTGAGTTTGGAGAAAAGAATTGAAATATTCTTTCTCCTTCCTTTCATAGCTACTCCTAAATTTTGGCAAATGTGGGCAAAAAAAAAAGTCCCAGTGGAACGGTTTCGGGGACAGATGAGGATGGAGGGCAGGTTCAACGCGCAGGCGGGGGAGAGGAGAGGAGGAGATTGCAGTCCATGTGCATTCTCTGAAGTTTTTTTTTTTAATTAGTTCTCTTTTCCTAAACAGACATTGTGCTCATTCTGTGTATTGGACCCCTCCAGTGTGGTTTCAACAGGATATTCGTATCTGGTGATGGGTTTGCAGCTTTGCCCAATTCTCTTAATTTCTTAGACCTGGAACTGAAGGGGTGGGGGGGAATCGTACTGTTACAAGAGCACCTTAAGGAGAGGAGGAGAAGTAGCCGAGGGGGCGGGGAAAGAGTTAGGGATTGGAAAGGTTCCCGGGAACTCGGGAGCGTGTTCCTGCTTAGGCTTCCCCACGGCCGGGGGACCCTGGCGACACCTACGGCCTCTGTCCGCTGTGCAGAGTGCGGAGCTAGCCGGGGAGAGCGGGAGCTCGGGACCGAAAAATAAGCTACAGTGGTGTGTGCGCGCGCGCGCGTGTGTGTTTCGGCAGCGAAAGGGTCTGGAGAAGCCCCGTGCGTGCGCGCGTGGGCACTGCGGTCCAGCACACAGTTTTTCTGGGGATACAGAGCAGGCCTTCCTGCTCGGTGCCTTCCGGGCGAGTCCCGAGGTCCGCGCGTGTTTTTCTTCCCTCTTGCAGTGTTTTTTATCAATCGGGAATAGCTAGGCAGCGTGAGGGATGGGAAGGCAAAAATTCCTGGAAGGGAGAGAGCCGGAGGGCGGCCTCTAAGAGAACCTGGGTGCCGCCACGCTCCCGGCTCAGAGGGACCGGTGACAGCCGCTAAGTTGTGCTGAGTGTCTGGGTGCAGAGGGCGAAACCGAAACGGTTCTTGGGTAGTTAGGGCCTCAGTCTGCGCAGCGGAGTCACTGGAAGTCTCTAGGACTCGAGAGGAGGAGGCCTCGCTTTCCAGGGACACGAATGGAAAGGCCAGCAGGAGAGGGGGCGGAGAGAGAGAGGGAGCGAGAGGTGGGGTCCGGTCCTCTGCGAGCCTGTGCCTGGTTGGCAGTGACACGGCGAAAGTGTCAATACCAGTCGGAAGGGGTGGGGGGGCAGACGTAACGTTGGAACGGATGCTTTTTCTACACCAAACTTTGCTTTCCTGTAAAAAAAGAAAATGGCCAACAGTCCCTCCAAGGCCAGGACTGCAGTGTCCTTGAAGTTTGGACACAAGCCTCTTATCCTCCAACCGCCCTCACCTCCTTGGAAGAAAAGTTTCTTAAAATGGAAAAGCCACAAGATCTGATTGATCGTGGAAAGATTGATGTGCAAACGCACTCCTAATATCCAAGCCAAAGGGATGTTTCGTAACTCGCCAAACTTGCCCATTTTTGCTCAATGACATCGCTCCTCTCCCCCGCCTCCCAGCTGCTTTTGTGGGGAAGGGTTCCAGAACATCGGCATGTATTCGGACACCGAATAGGTGTCCGACAGAACCCGGGGGGAGAGGCGCGGTCCAGACCGCAGCCCTCTGAGGCTAGCCTGCTGCTCTGTGGGGGCGGGGGGTGGGGGGCAGCAGGGAGATCTCCACTGTAGCGAAAGTGGCTTCGCCGCCTTTGGGGAGGGCACGGGACCGCCCCCCGAGGTCCTCCAGAGCCTCCTCCCTGGCCCCTGGGTTTCCACGTGTCTTTTCCACGCCCTAACTGCGAGTGCTGCTCCCCAGTTTTGATTTCGGGAAGTACCACAGTCTGCTTAGAGCGGAAGGGTTGCAAGTGAAGGAGGAGAAACATCATGCCGTTGGCAGATATTTTACCGAACTAAAACCCCCTATTTTCTCAGTGGACAATAGAAATAGGGTGTAAAATTCCCCCAGATTAACTGAGGAGGTTGCAGGGGCAAAGACGGTGGCGGAAAGCAGCCCTCCAAATACAAGCTGAGCGACTCAGCGCCAGGAGTGTAAAGACAGGGGCCGGGGTTCTGGAAGTCGGAACCAGAAACCTCTCTTCCTCCGCACCGCCTTTCCACCAAGAGGGAGCGTACACCTACCCCGACCAGCTCCTGCGAGATGGGGGTGGGGTCTACGCCAGGCGCCGAAGGGGGGCAGGACACTGACCAGATAGGGCTCCCCCCCCCCCGCCCCAATTCCCAAAAGGTCTTTAGCTCTAGTAACCTGGCGATGCTTGAAGTGGCAGATCTGCCAGTCCAGGCCCAGGGCCCTCGGTCACAGTCCGGAATACAGTGCGTCCTCCCATTTCTGGTCGCCCCCTGCTTTCCCTAAGGGCCGCTATGACAGTGTGGTATGGCCCGAAGTCCAGGGTCTCAGCCAGCCAGGCACTCCAAGCCGGAGTCCCAGACTGTCCTAGGAGGCTTGTTCCTCACTCTCTGTCTCGTGGAAAGATTAACAACGAGAAGAAGGAGAGTGAATAAAGGAGCCACAACTTTGCTCACCATAAAATGGGTTGATTCTTGCCAGGGCCCTAAAGTTAAAGCTGCCCACAGGGCAGCTCTGGCTCTGCTCCCAAGCGCCTGCCTCACCGAGTCGCCTCGATCGTGAGGGTTCACCCACGAACCTTGCTCAGCCTTTGGGGACGAGCCCAGAACCCGAGAAGGAGCAGGCGCGGAACTCAGGAGCGAGAGCTGGCGGATTTCTTCACAGTGTGTCTCTGCCATCACGCACCCGGGTGTGTGCAAGGAGGGAGTGAAGGAGCCGACGTTGGGCGGAAGCTGGTGAAGCAGTCCAAAGGAGCCCTAGCCAGAGATGCACCTTGACCTTGGCCTTGGCCGGGGGCCCATGCCCAGGGCTCGGACAGACAAGGAGATGGAGCGAGCCACCCAGCGGCAGTGCGGGGCCCAGCTCTCTGGAGCCACACCCCGCGTCCTCGCTGCGAGGCAGAGGCGGCGCGGAGGTAGGGGTCGTTCTCTGGCAACAGGTGCTTCCCAAGGACTGCGGGTTGCCTCCTGCCCAGCAGTCTTGGCTCTGGCAAGAGCCCGTGAGTTTCCCAGCTTTTGTGCAATGCGCCAAAGCAGCAGGTCCGCACGGGGACCTGGGCGGAAGAGCAGCCCAGTCTTCCCCGCGTGGCCAGGGCGCACAGCCTCAGCTCAGAGACTCCCGGGAACCGCGCGCTGAAGCATCTACCGTTCGTCCTGACATCCCGCCCCCGTCCATCACCAGGCACAGTCTCTTACCCGTTGCCGTGTGCGTGCCGCTTGCGCTCGGCGCCCACCGCTCGGCAGCTCCAGCCACAGAGTTGCTCTCCAGCAGCTGCCGGCTCTGCCTGAGGCTGGAGCGATTTGGGCTCAGGAGCAACAACCCCACCCCCCCACCCCTCCTAAGAGTCCAGAGGCGAATGTCGCGCTGGCTGACCTGCCGGGTTGCTACAGTGAGGAGCCGGTCAATCAGCAACGTCCAGGGGCTCCTGTGGATCGTCAAGCCTCAAACTTGACCCGCAGAAACTTTGGCCGAGACCGAACAGCGGGAGGCTGCCCTGTGGGCTTCACCTTTTAACCTAACCCCCCTTCCAAAACCAAAAAGATGAAAGGGATGCCCAGATAGTTCTAAAGATGTGCCATCGTGTGCAACCGTAGAAATAGCCTAAAAACTAGTTGACCACGAAAGGAACTTCTCGAACAGTAGTTTCAGCCTGTGAGTACAACAATCGCTCCCCAACAATAGCAGTGGGGGCCGAGTCAATCAAGGTTCTTAGGGTGATCAAAGAATCCTTAACCCAAAGACAAAGTAGAAAAACACAACAAGTTTTTAAAAATTAAATGTTGACATAAACCATAGCCAAGCAGGAATGATCTTCTCCCTCAGCAGCGAATCCTGGCTGGTGGAATTGTGGCTAGGGACTGAGTCCCCAGGCCCCCATTCAGAGGTGCCAACATTGAAATCGCAACAATTTAATAGGTGCTAGAAGGGCCCGAGAGAACAGATCTGGGGCAACTGCCCAAAGTGTTTCAGTTTTCTGGTTGCCCCATATTTTCCATAATATCTTGAACACCCACTGATCTATCTGTCCAGTATTTGTCCTCTTCTTTTTAAAATCTGATTTTGGTACGGGAAAAACAGCAGAAGCTGAAGGACAGTAGAATTTTATGAGGAGATAGTAACTGCTTTTTGAAATGTTGGATTTGAGACTGGAAAATGCAAGGAAGTTCCGGAATAGCATAAATTGACGAGTTGCTCATTATGTGAATATACAGACAAGTCAATCCACTGGCAGAAGTAGAACTGTGATTTTAATGACGCATTAGCAGCGAGTTGGCTAGAACTTACAGACTCATTACAATTATTTAAAGACTGACTAAAGTCAAAGGAGACATGAGCTTCCGGGC